TTCAATGTGACTAATGGTTCTGTAACTATAATGTATGAGCTTTAACATAAAAGTGTCCTTATTTTCTGTTGTATTTGTTTTCAGTAAACTGCTGCTTAGAGAAAAACCTATGGTGTGTTTCTATGTGGCAGTCTTGTCTGTATAAGCAAATGATGAGAGAGTAACCAACAAACTTTACAGTCTGGCCTTCAATTGTTTGAAATGCAAAAATAAGAATCAGTTTCTGATGTAATAAATTGTCCAAGCCTTATCCTGTGATCCTGCCACTGTTAAATCTTTGGTGGTTTTATCCATAAAATTCTGACAAGTGTATGAAATGGTTGTTTGTCTATTAACATGCAGTGTAATATGTCGCTTTGTTTTTTCTTAACTCTTTCGCTCATGTTATAAAGCTGTGCCATGTGTCTAACGACTCCCCTTTCTCTTTCTGATTCTCACTGTATCCTCACCTCCGTCCTTCTCAGTTTCGGTCTCTGTGACTCCCTCTGCTGTTCTCAAGCTGTGTGATGAGGCAACGCTCCACTGTGAGGTGAAACATCTGCTAAAAGGTTGTGAAGTGAAGTGGAAAAGCCCAAATGCTGATTCACCTGAATGGCCATCAACAGTTCAACTCAAATCTGTAACAAGCTCACATAATGGGACCTGGGAGTGTATCATCACCTGTGATGGCAAACAACTGAGTAAGTGTATTACTATAAAGGGTAATACACAGGTGCATGGACTGAAGGCCCATGTGTACATATGTGGTCAAAAGAAACATAAAGATTTGTGTTTTTGTTCTTCAGAGCCTCCAACTTCAACAACTCCACCATCCACCCGAAAGAACATCACATTATTTGTAACGAGTGTTCAGAAGACAACATGTACAACATGTGCGTCCGGCTTTTGAAAATGTCTGCAAATTTGATCAAAGTGATCCTTTGTTGAATGTGTAACTCATTCTTGTCTTTCTCGCTTTCTCCAATGATCTGTGTTGCATTCAGGTACTGCCAACGATTGCCCACTGGGACTCTCCTGTTGGATGTGGATTGCAATGGGGGTGTGCTGCCAGTTTGGGATGTTCCTGATAGTTTGTGTCACTGTCTTGTGTAAGTGCATGAGTAGAAGGATGGTATGTGAGGAAAGGCGTCCATCAAGTATTTATGTATAGTGTTGATAGCTGTGGTTACAGATTATGTTGGTCTAACCTCTTCGCCGAATGTGTAACTGATCAGATTCATAGTTTCACTACACCAAGCTCTTACAAAGTCCTGGACATTTCACAACTGGCAAAAGTCTAATTAAGTGTCTCGGATTATCTATTACACTCTTCAGTAAATCAGTAGATGTACCATTTACCATTTACCACTGAGATGAGAAGGCCTGGTTTGCAGTCTCCGCTCTAATTCATCCTAAAGATGTTCTGTTCAAAAGTTCTTCCTCACCACAGTCGCTCATCCATGTCTTTATAGACCTTG